GGGACACACAGTGACGCCATTTTGGGTGAGTCAAGTGGCTGTTTGGTGCGCTAAAAACTAGTTCCCTGTACTTCCATTATGTTAAATAATTGTTAAAATTACTAAAAATTTTAATATAAAACTTTTAAAGTTATTGAATAGTACAACCTTCTTGATATTTACTCAAATGGTAACGAATACTACAGTTGGTGAGCAGCCGAAAGCAAGCGAAAACATGTTGGGAAAAATTCGTAAGGAATTTGTTAACCGAAGTGAAGAATCTTATGGAAGCTAATTCGTTTACCAAAATTTCGTTAACCGAGGGATCACTGTGTGTGTGTGTGTGTGTGTGTATATATATATATATATATATATATATATATATATATATATATATATATATATATATATATATATATATATATATATATATATATATATGTAACCGGTCGGAATTTGCTGGACTTTAATTTCTCACTAGACTTGGGGTTTATTAAAGATTATTAGATGGTAATTGCAGTGGAAGCGCCCCTTTGAGAGAAATCCCGAACCAGCACAAGAACACTTAAATTTACTAAACAAAATGAATTGTCCATGACCCGTGGAAGGATAGCGTCTGTGACTGGGATGAATGAGACACACTGTAAAATTTAGACACTTATATTCCCTCCAACACTACAGACACAATCAAATAATGGTACACCAATATGCACACCTCTTAACCTGAACTTAAAGCACTACTCTGGGGAATAAAGGTTATACATGATATTGAAAATATTAGAAATTCAGACAATGCCTCATTAGACAACAATAAATTTAAAGTATTAAGAAATGTTGCTTGCACACATGAAACAGGCCTTAAGGGCTTTCAACAAAATAATATCAATCACTGAGAAGATTTTATAAAAAAATAGGAAATCAATAACTACAATGAATAGGCCTTAAGGGCACTCAACAAAATGATATCCAGCACTGAGAAAATGGTATAAAAAATAGAACTTATTAACTCCACCCTGAGTAGGCCTTCAGGGCACTCAGCAAAATTATATTACCCCAACAGATACACACCTCCTAACCTAACTTAAACACTACTCTGGGGAACAAGGGTTATACCTGAGATTGAAATTATAAGGAAATATTAAATGCACACAGCATACATTAGTAACTGAAAAAATAGTATTAAGTACACACAAAAATATTATCACTATTATTAAGAAGTTACTGAGTCCACCAATACCCGTGAACCATGCTTCCTAACCTAACACATAGATTCCACCTGCACTCCGTAGTTTTTTAAGGCACAACCAACAGGCACCTGTAGTTTAAGGCCCAAACCAGCCTTTCTCAACCTTGGAAATGTACCTCTAAGTTCCACTGGACTCTTGGTCCCAGTGTGTGACCCTGTATCACTCAGCTGGCTTCACTTTACCCCCAGTACATCCATGAAACGGAAGGGAGTGAGCCACTCAGACCTTGTACAGTTGAGAGAAGCTTTAGCTTCCCGGTAGTAAAAGGTTTTCACTAAGCTGCTTGAAGATATGTGGTATTGTGAGCCGAGGTAGAGGAGAGTTGATGACCCCAAACGATCGTCACGTCGTTAGTTGGGCACCTAGACAGCTGGGTTCACTCCAACTCTCACCATACTCAACAGGTGGCTCAAACCCAGGTCAGTGGATGGTCATACAGCTCGCTTCACCACTCGTGTCTCATACCGCCAGTGGATGTTATCATACCGCGATGAGTCTACAGAACCCTGAAAAACCCGGGCTGTTAGCTATTGTCTCACATCACCGTTTGTTCCTACCGCCCTATCAAGCTTTGTCTGAGATTGAATAAAACTTACTTGTTAATACTGATGTTAAATAAACGAAGGAACCAGGTCACGCGATCCGTCTCTCCTGGGTACAGCACAGAGGTGGTCCTTGACCTCTCTCACCGCTCCCCAGCCACGCTTGCTCACTGGTTCACGCTTTCCAGGAGTGACTTATTTACCAGACGATTAACAGCTTAATTAGGACGTACGCAACATTTTCAGACTGGGAAACGATCTATAATTATTTTCAATTTAATAACTGATATTTAATTTCATGATTCGCGTCCCTATTAATTCGGTAAATTACATTTAATATCATATAGGCCTAGTTCCACAAACTCTCGCTACGTACGAGAGCGCGGTCTTCCCTCAGACGACCATGAACTCAGTCTCTCCAATGGCGCGGCGTTTGAAATTACACTGAATTTCTGAATATTACACACACACACACACACATACATACACATATATATATATATATATATATATATATATATATATATATATATATATATATATATATATATATATATATATATATATATATATATATATATATATATATTCCCCGACTTACGACTGCTTGGACTTACGTCCATCGGTACTTACGACCTGCTCTGACCTTACGACCGTCGGGACTTATGACCGCCGCAGTTGTGACCAATTTTTTATTTATTTTTTTCAAAATGATGTCCGGATTTTCTATACCGAAACGTTTCCAGTTAATGTAGTCTTCATGTATAATAAGAAAATTATGGGGGCCCCGTGTGCATTCAGCTGACTACATTAACCCTTTGGATGCGACATGCGGGTAAACCCGCCCAAAATATTATATTAATTAAATGCGACAAGCGGGGATATCCCACGGCCTTGAAAAAACTTCCCCAAATGAGACGACATGCGGACATATTATGTATTGAGGTATAGGAGTATTTCCTGAATGCAATATAGCTTAGTTTTGTACTATTTTGTTTGATATTATCTGAATATGTAATACATATCTAAATTTGCTGTTAAGTAACCAAATTGATTAAATTTATTTGCCATATACCAGACATTGATTTATACCAATTTCCTGCATTTTTGGGTATAAATGTCATTTTTTCTCTAAAATTTGCACACATATGTGAATTTTTTTTCCAGATTTGGAAAATATACTAAAATTTCTCTAGGAAAAACATATAGAAAATGTGATTATATGAAATTCATTTTTGGCAGGATAATTGACACTTTTCAGGAACCGGCGCGAAATTTAATTACGCACCTAAAGGGTTAACCTTTAATGTAGTCAGCTGAATGCACATGGGGCCCCCATAATTTTCTAATTATACATGGAGACTACATTAACTGGAAACGTTTCGGTATAGAAAATGCGTGTGTCATTTAAAAAAATTTATTTATTTTTTATTTTATTTTTTTATTTTTTATCTATATCTGAGGCGGTCGTAAGTCCCGACGGTCGTAAGTCCACGTAGTCGTAAGTCGGGGTCTAGGTATATATATATATATATATATATATATATATATATATATATATATATATACATATATATATATATATATATATACATATACATACATACATACATACATATTGAAGTCAACCCCAGCTTTGCACGCGTCCCACATTCCGCTGCTTCACGTTTACGCTGCACTTGCCCAAACAGAATGCTCACATTCACAGCATATACCCTTTACGCTGAGAGCGGCGGCGAGCCGTGCCATTTGGATCCAAACCTCCCGCCATCTCTCCCGCCATGTTGTGTAAGCGGCGCGAGCAGGGTGCGCACAAGGTCGCCCAGTCATCAAAACATTACCGAGTTCTTCACCCGCCACCCACCACAGCCGGCCCAAGTCATTGATAGTGATAATGATAGTGAGGATATGGACTTATATGGACTTTGAGGGGTTTGACAAAGAGGCCCTGCAAGCTTCTGTGGTGGATAGTGATACAATTGATACAAGTGATACAGGTGAGGGCCAACACCACCCTTTCTGTTCGAACCAACCCCCCATCCCCGTGCCCAGCCATCTCTTCTACTAACGTAAGTGTTAAAAAACCTAATATTGATATTTCTCTTAATTATTAATTGTGTGCATACCATCATAAAGTTAAGATAATATTTTTACTACAACATAGTTGTGTGTCGTCAAAGTGGAGTTTGGGGGTCGGCCCGGTCTCTTATTTCAATTAATCCCATATGTTATGTTGTTCACTTTACGAGTTTCTCACTTTCCGCTGTACCCTGTGGGTTGAATTAACCGTGTAAAGTGATATATATATATATATATATATATATATATTTTTTATATATATATATATATATATATATATATATATATATATATATATATATATATATATATATATATATATATATATATATATATATATATATATAATTTTTTTTTTTTGTGTATCAAATAATAGGGGTTAATAAATACAATATAGATTTATGTTTAAATTAAATTTAATATTTTGATGGCATTTCTGGTTTGTTACTATTCAACAAAATTATAAATTTATATAATACAGTATAGTTACCTCTTCCAGGTAGGTGACTACTATTTGATTACGTCACGGAGTAACAACCCTGTGTCACCTGAGAGGGTGCTTTTTAGTCCTATATATAAGATCATCCAGCTGTAAAACTTGCTTAAAATTTGCCTGGTGGCAACACTTACACCTTTCCAACACAAAATCATGGCTAATCCTTGGAAGCAAAGAAAATGGCTGTAAGATGGTGATGAGGGCAAGAGGCCAGATCAAATTAGGGATTTCAATGCTAATAATTATTTTGCAGATTTAAGGGGTATGACCACTACCCTATATAAATTCAGAAAGTTTTATCTAAATCCAACAGTAAATTCTGTAACCCCTAAGATTCTTGGGGTAGGTGTCTAGCATAAATAGAGAGGGAACAAAGTTGACACACTTGACTGATGCAAACAAAGTTCACAACAATTTAAACAAACCACGTGACATTATGGTATGTAATGTTCTCTTGACAAATTCTTAACTGTACTTTATTTTTCAGTTACTTGGGGGAGGGGGGGCTCCAGTCCTAGTTCACTCAACCCCCTCCACCAATTCAATCCCCCCCACCCCCTTTCTTCCTCCAATTCTCCCTGTCTTATTCCAACTTATTCATCAAAAGTGAGAGTGATGACTTATGTGTAGTGTCTAAAAACTATTTACATTTTTCAGGTGATGCTCAGCGAGGTCAAAAGAGGAAACTCGAGGATGGGGAAGATTAAAATTTACATTACAGTGGCACGTGGCAACCTGTAGCCGAGAGGGCAGCAAGGGGACGGGTGGAGGCACTGTTGCAACAACTTCACTGTGGAGTTTGTGTGGCTCTTTCTGGATGCAATAAACACTGCTGGGTGGCAACTGAGTAGTTAGAGAGTTGTTGATATGTGTTTAAAGTGTGCATAGGAAGATCAAAGTCTGTTCTATCTTTTATTAATCTTGAAAATAAAACTTTTATATTTTTTGTGGGGGAGGGATAATTTTGTGTGTCAGGACTGTGCCCAATATGGATTGATTATTGCACCAGATTCAGTTTGAATATCAGTGTTGAAGATGGAACATGGCCAAAAAAACCCTCTCCCAGCCCCTCTTTGTAATTTGGGGGGTGTTAGTCTTGCCCTCTCATCTTGACTGGCACCCTCTGCCTTGCTCGCTGCACTTGCCCTGGCCACCACTTACCTCACTTGACCCAAACACGACTGTCACAATTGAAGTTAACGTTGAGGGACTTCATGTTGATATATTTGACTAAATATTATAAGTTTTAGTTGAGCTGTTGGATGGCATTATTTGTAATGGTTCCTGAAGCGCAACTCATGAAAAGTGTAGGTAATCATCAAGCGTGCTGTGGAAGAACTTAGTTGGCTGGAAGATACAAATTATTGTGTGTCTTGTGTGGGCTGTAGGACCTCAGTGAAACAGCTTGGATGCTGGCCGTCAGGTCGTGTGTGTGTGTGTGTCAGTGGAGCCAACCTTAAGTTGAGAGTGGCATCCATCAGAGGTCTTGGTGTGTGTGTGTGTGTGTGTAGCCAGTGCACAACAAGACTTGGCTAATTTGTTTGTCCATCTCAACTGCTGTAAATCACTTACAAGTTGCTTTCTTTCCTTTGATGTTTGTGTCTTGAATTTGTTGAAGTATTTGGAATGTTGTCAGAAATCTAACTTATCTGTTAGTAGTTTAACAATGGTTCAGATCTTTTTTTAAACTTAATATCAGCAATAATATGTTCAGTTTAAATCATGATTGGTGGTCAGTGTCAATATTTCTATGTACAGGTATAAGAATTTTAGTTATGATGGTTAGCTAAAGGGACTTGTATATAAAATATAGTGAGAACACCATCAGTACAGTAATTGTAAGACACATTGAAACAGGATTATCTAAGACAATTCTTAATTTTTTAATTTTCATACTTTATACAGTAACAGATTGTTGTGTATTAGTACATACTGTAGGTGGTGTCTGCCCTGCGAGACTCTCCATGTGGCTGGGCAAGACCTCCGTCATGGCTGCCCAGGCTGGATGAGGTTGGCTTTAGGGTTATTGACTGCGTTCCTGCCATGAAGGTTCCATTGTCTTTCCCATTTCTTGATGAGTATATTAAGGCCGTCCTTCAGAGCGAAATTTGCATTGGAGTAAATATATATATATATACAGTAACCGGTACATATAAAACTATTTTTATTTATTTTTTCTTTCCTTTCTTTTTGTTTTATTTTTTTTTAATTTGTTTTTTATTTTTTAATAGTAATTATTTTATTGGTTGTTGAGTATTGAAGGATTAACCAGGGATGGGAGTTATGGACTCACATGTAGTGGACAGTTGCTGGTCAAGTTGGGGTACAAAAGTGGACTTTATCTCTTTAAGGCAAACGTGCTTGTGGTCCAAATGGTGTGGCCATAAGGTAATAGTCTTAAGCTTTATACTGTCTTGTAAATAGAATATATAATTAAATAAAAAATAGTGCAGGATATGGGAGTTGAGCTCTTGGAAACTAGGCCTTAGAATATATTGGAATATAAGACAGTTTATGGTGCAATGGAAACAAAGAGGCATTAGTTGGACTGGCATGCACTAGTTAGGAATGTGAGTCATTGATCTCAAAGTGAAGGCCACATGTTGGACAGCCGCAGCAGCCATGACCCCCAACTGTGTGGGTGTGGACCACGCAGGTCCGTGCACCAGCCTGTACACTCTCGCCATCACCACCTGTTCTTGCTGCCCACACTTCTAACACCAGACTCTTTCTCCTTATAAGTAATTATTATGGAATTGGTCATTATTTATATGACCAAATATGAGGAGAAAAAAATTTTTCAATTGAAAGGAGTACTTTAATGAATAGCATTAATTTGATATGATAATTTGTAAAGTTGTGTCAGTTATTTGAAGACTATATTGACATGCATGAAGTTGGTGGTGGTTGTGAAGGTGGCAGATGTTTGGTTGGCGTGCCCACCACACAGTTACTAGAGTACAAAGTACAGGGCCCAGCCATCATTGAGTATCCCGCCGCCATGCCTCTGCTGCAGCCAGTGATCACAGGCTCTTATCAGGCTGAGCAGCATTGTGCAAGTTATCCGTCTCACCCCACAGAACTCTTATTGTGTGGGCTATGTCATCTGAGCCAGCAGGAGGCTTTATAAAAATGAAGTGTACACACATTTGTTAAAGACATTAGTAAGCCCATGTGCCTCTACATTGATGTGAGGTTTATCGTCACCCATGAAAGTCAACTTAAAGTTTATTGTAGACTTGCACTCTTAATTATGAAGTAGAAATCCAGGGTATTGCACTCATGGTAGACTTGTATTGTCAGAAAATAGGGATAGTAGTATTTCCAGTTACAGGAAGTTCTTGTTCCACAGTTTCTGACATTACTTTTGTTAGGGCAACCAAAGAGATATTTTTGAAGTGTTAAAATCACAGTAGCATTGGGCATCAGCAGGTGAGAAATAAAGGAATGTGATGCCTCACAAAGCAACTATCAGTTGACTTAGGGTGTAAGGAGGTAATTTGGGCTACTGTTGTCGTCTATGGGTGCGTGAAGTGGCACACTGGCCTTGGTGAGCATCCGGTATAATCCTGCACTGCCTGTGCTCTAACTTTTATGAACTTGCTGCAATCTGATGCAACTTGTCATGTGTAGTTCATGTTTTGCTGGCATTGAGCACTTCACATGTTTGGGTGTATATTTGTTATAAATTAATTAGAACTACTTATACTCATAGGTTTATTACAGAGTATTTACCAGAGATAAGAAGAGGCCCTGTAACATGTGAAGGGTTGAATGCCTGCCAAATGTTGCCTACACTGCTTGAAGATGTGGGAGGCATGAGGTGCCATCAAGGTCACACTGAACCGCCGCATACTCTCGGGTCGTTAGTGTGATCACCTCCCAGGGTAGTTAGTAGGGGTGGCATTTTGGGACTGGGACCTGAGTTAACTATGAGAATCCCTCACCACATGTTCAAAATTCAGGAGATCTGCTATGGTAATGAGCTTATAACTAACAATAAATATATGTACAAGTTTCATATGGGAAATCTCGAGAGAATAATAAATAAAAGGAGTTTGGTGTCCCCAGGTGCTTCCTCATGGAGTAGTAAACCCGTAGACCCCATGCAGAGAGAGGTGCCTTCCCTGAGGGGTGCCACCACGGCCTCCCACCCCTCAATGATCCCGTCGGAGGCCCCATTCTGTCTATTCATGCCCAGTGTTTGTGGTTAATGTAACCTGCTCTGTTTTAGCCAGTCATATATTTTTCCCAATCAGTTAAAGGTCAGCAGTTTGTTCTAAATTATTGCCAGTTTATTACTGTTATTTATAAAGCTTCAATACATGTTTTTAATGTTAGCTGCTCTTAAGTTTTGCTTGAAATTTTTACCAATTATCTTTAATCTTGTGAATCAAGGCTCCGGCATGTGTGTCTGCTGGAGGTAGTTCTCTTACTTATGTAACAAGTGAACATTTTTTCTGTTACTTTTATAGCAGCTGGAGGTAGTTCTCTTACTCATACCACTGCTTTATCTTTGCTGCTTTGTATCCTATTCTTTAAAACTTGTGTTATGACCAGGTTATTCAGGTATGTTTTACTCCCAGATATAAGCATCCACTACTGTACTGTGTAAGAACTACCACACCGGAGGGCTCTCATGCCTACACACTCAACTTAGTCTCCAGAGTATTGATACAAGTGTTGCATCTTCTGAATACAGCCACTGGAATTGTTTGGCTGAGGCTCATTAAATTTGCTATTAGTATGATATGTGTGGAAAGGCTAGAGGGAGGTTATCCACATTCTCAGTCTGTTTTTAACTGCCCAAGTCTTCTACCTTCTGTGTCAATTAAGTACAAATTTTTTTAAAAACTCAAAAAAATCTGAAGTTTGTGTGGTAAAGATTTTATGTTGCACTGTACTTATGTGTAAGAGTGAGCAGTCTTATGTGTGTGTGAGGTAATGAAATGATAATAGTAAAGTTACAAGTGTTAGTATTGAAGACAACTTGTGGAGAATATTTTGATTTATCAGGGATCACATCTAATGATTGTGTCTGGCCATTGTAGTGTAAGATTTTTCTCTTAATAAGAAGAAAAAAAAGATAATTTACACACACACACACACACAGTAGTACAGTATACTGAGAATTTGTGTACGTGTATTCACATTTTTTTTTTTTATTACATGTGTGTATAACTTGATATTTTCAACATTGTTTATCAGTTCTGCAACTATAAATTATTTAATTGTCTGAGTTTTTGTGACTGCTTTCGAAAGTGTGGCAGCTTTGGGTTTATGGTTAATTTATTTATTTTGTAAAATTCAGTAAGCCAACTTCATAATTTTGCTTCTTAATTGAATAGTCAGCTGTCACCTTTGTAAAAGTGTAACTCAAAAAATATTTATTAGAAAAGGAGTTGGAGACAAGTTCTGATGTTGACAAGACCTGCCTTCTAATATTTGCTTCATATTGTGGGATACCACAGAATCTGCTGTTGAAATTGTTTTATGTGAATATATGACAGAGCTAATTATTACAGTTTATTAGAATATCTATTTCTGCTGTACTTGTAATTTAATGCCTACTGGTACGTGCATATTTAATTGAAACTAATATTTTATGTACTGCAGGTGGAAATCACTTCAAGTAAGAGTTATTTGCTCAAATACAGACTTATGACACAATTCATTTCATTAGTATTATGTGAAACATTATGGGAGCCATTATAAATATTTTAAGCAGACGTTTCTAAGGGGATAAACTGAGTACAGTATGCCAGAAATTTATTTAGTGACCCAAGTCAACTGGCATATGCCATACTGATGACAATCTCTGCATTACACACGAAGCTGTAGTCAGAAGATGCACTTGAGCACTGTACTGCACCACTGTATACTTCCTTTAACCTCTGTCCTGGAAGGTCAGTGCCAGTAACTACCATATCTTCATTTACAGTATATGCACAACACAAGGGTAAGGAACTGGATGTTTACAGTAGGGGCATTATTTATAGCCTTACTAAATTCAAATTATTAGTGTAATAGTCCATAGTTTGATTACACAATTCAGTGTAAGTGCATTAAATGTAACGACTGACTGCAGCACAGTTGTTACATACAGTTCGTAAGGTTTTGAAGCTGGATAAGTAAAATGAATTTTCCGTAGTGCCTCAGTACATTGGCAAACCCGGTACTTTAACAAAGACATGTTGGCCTCTTCCAAAGAGTTTGAGGGCTGCAAGGGTCCTTAACATTTTACAATGTCTGTTGTGGTTCTTATATATATGACTTTTAGAATATTAAAATATACCTTTTGTCCTGTATTATTAGTTTCTTTCTTTGAGTTAAACCTGTACCTCCTTTCAACACACTTTCATTTGTCAAGGACTTATTGGTCAACTGGGTCAGTGATATGAATTTTGAGGTTGCATCTTTGCTGCTTTTACTTTTATCCTATCATGTTTTGTCTATTATTTATAGTTCTATGAATAGTATCCTTTATTTATTATTTTTATTTTTTTTATTTTTTATTATTTACATTTCTTATTCACCATTTCATGTATGCTTCCAGTGTCAACATATTGTCTTCAGCCTTGATGAAACCACAAGTGCAAAATCAGCCATTATTTAGCTGGAATTTTCTTCTCAAGTTTCCTTTGGAATGATTAAAGAAGCAGCAAGTTAAATATTAAAAACTGTAGGGGAAGAAACTAGTGTCAAGGTAATATTGAGGGTACAGTACTGTATTGTAATAAAAGTGGTTTGATAATAAATTGAAATATAATGACGAGGACCAAGTAATACAGAATCCTGGTCCTCCTGATTTTATAATTCATCTACATTTATGATCACCCTGTATAGTACTTAAAATCAGTGTCTCCATCTTCAAGATTAAAATGCTTGAGCCAAAGACATTTTATATTTGTTGGTTATGGTTATGTACAGAAAATGCAAGGCAATTTTTAAGGCCATTATTTTGACACTGGTTGGCTGCTGCTGTAGGATCTGGCCCAACCAGATAGCGTCTGCTTCCATGTCCAGGGGTTCACCAAGAGGGTGGAAATGTCACCTTTCCCCCCCATAAAGTCATTTTAACACCTTAACCCCTACCCCAAGCACTTAAGAACTGAACAGGGTGAAAATTAAAATATATCCAAGCTTTTTGCTTTAAGTATACCAGTAATCATAATTGTTTCATTTGCATGCCACATGACTTCTTTTCACTTAACTTAATCAGCTGCGCCTTCCCAGTGTTCAAAACAACAACTTGGTAGGAGGATTGTTAATTAAATCTTTCCATTACTTGTTTGAACAAACAATATCACATGTGGAATGACATTCTTAGGGGTAGTTCTTGTTACCCCTTCAGAAAATATGTTGCGCAGAAGTATATACAGTACGCATATGATTTTTAGAAACCTTTTATTTTTTATTAATTGGCTTGTGGGCTTGTTTTACATTGGTTAGTCCTAAAATCATGATCATCTGCCCCTTTGGTTTTAAAACCCAGGTGAACCCCTGATGTCTGGTGAACACCTTTATATTTTTTCCCCATAGGCTTGTAGCTGAATGAGTGTACATACAGTATTACAAAGTAGACATCTTGTGTATGTAGGTGTAGTGTCAGTGAGCCTTTCATGTGTATCACAGTGCCCCCCTCAGTCAGGTAAAGATAACACTCTGGTGGCATTCAAAATATCAGGTGAATTCAGGAAAAAGCGCAATTAAGAATAATTCCTAGTCATATGTCTGGCTTCTTTTTATCGGTGTTTTGATTAATGTTGTCGGAGCCTGATTACCAGTGTCAACTCTTACTTCTGGGGAGTTAATCTGTCTTGTCAGCAGATTAATTTCACAATGATGAGTCAATGTTTAAGACGAAAATCTTCAGGTGATTGCTGTTTACTGGGTCCAATGATAACTTTTGTATAAATTCAAGAGATTGGCTCAATTCACTGAGGGCCAACTATGGTCATAGCTAACTGATGGCTGTGGGTTCTGTCACTTTTTGTCACAATTCCTGTAAAAGAATCATTCATTTGTGGGCTCTCAGTGAGTTACAGTTGGTGTTATAGGGAGTGGTTGTCATGATTTAAAGTCGAGTGCACCTAAATTTTAATTTATCTTCAAACTCTGTTGGGTGTTCTGTGAAGCCTGTTAGTCAAATCTGGCTATTGTATAGCATTATTAAATCTCATCCCTGTTGCTTGGGAATTTTTCTAGTTGCATATTCAATGATTTTTTCCTGCTTTTCACCTTCAGTACTGAACCCCACCAACTGGAAAACTTTTGGGCTTTCAGATTTGTGTATTAATTTATTTTATTTTTTATTTTATTTTTTCAGTCTAAACATGAATTTATCTTCAATATACAGCTAACTTTAAATTGTTAGTTAACATATTATGGGTTAACAATAGTACAACACTGAAAACTTTCTTTGAGTACTGTAGTACTTATAAATTAGTTTTTATTTAGCGTACATATTACTGTTGTTTTGATAAGTGAATGGTATATGTATTTTGTGAATTGGAAACTCTTGGCACTTTTCCAATAGTGTAATTTTTACCTGCAATTTCATGTGATTTACCAAAAAAAAAGTATTTTTGTACTTTACTACATTGAATTGGATTTGAGTACAATGCTCATTGATACTGTGAACTCTAAATACTAATTCTGCTTTGGGAGGTGATCATAAGACTGCGTTCCTGGGAGGTTGTTTTAATGAATAATGTAGAAAGCAAATTGCAAATACACTTTCATTTTTTTGTAAAGGTTTTATCTTTTCCCTGTATTAAATAATTTTGCTTCTGAACTTTAAGATTCGAGCTTCAGGTATAGAAAATACAGATATGCTTAAAGTTTGTTGAAGAAAATGGCTTAGTCATAGAACCTTAATATTGATGGTATTATAGTACAGTATAGTGCAGTTTTGCCATTAGGAAAACTGTATCTGTATCTCGCTGTCCGATGGAATTGTTGTAAGGAAAACAATAAAGCAGATGTCCTTACAAAAAAGGGCAATGAATATGGGCTCAAATGTACCCAAGACAAACACTCCAAAGGCTATAGATGTTTGCAGGTACTGTACTGTATTTGTGTATAGACTTGATTGAGGCATGTAGAATGACTGACCATGAGAACAGTATATGGAAAGACTGACAAGAAGGGAATATTTACATGGAAAACTCTATAAGAGGGTTAGAAAATGCAGGTCACACTAAAGAGATGATGATGAGATAGTACAAGTAAGGTGTGACTCAGAGAAGGACTGTAGAGATGAGTTAAGATTATTACCTGAAGTAGTGCAGATAATGGCATTAAAGATATTGATGAATGATTTAAAAACCATTGAATTCTTTAAAAAATTAATATTGAGTAAATATTTGAGAATTGCCTCAGCCAGTTGAAGGGTGCTGTTCATACCATACCAGTATTGTTGGGTTGTTCTCAATATAGCTAATACTCTGTACTGTACTAAAATATGAGAAATAAAATACTGCATATTGTGTGTATTTTCTAGTCAGTCAGGCACTCAGGCCAATTTAATTTATTAAAGAAGCCACACCAAAATTCTTCACTGACTTGTTTTCTTAAACTTTTGTATCTTCACATGCCTGGCATAAGTGACATTCTAAAGCTTTTAGGAAATGATGTCAAATCTTCACAAATTGTGTTTCATACTTATCACTAACTAGTATGGTACTGTATGGGATTTAATTTTTCTCTAAATTTTAAAGTTCTGTTTCAAGGTTGAAATACTGTAATTTGTGGCTATAAGACCGTACCTGTACAGACCAGATAATTTTTAGAGTGAGTGTATATCATCCCGTACTGCTTAGCGGTATATATGTACAGCATATGGACAATATACATGTAATGTAGCTTAGAGCTAAGTCCAAGAGTTAAAATGTACATTCCTGTACTAAAAAAAAAATAATGAAATTTGGTATGTAATTTTCTCTGCTAATTATGAAGATGCCCTGTATTAGGAAGCTGAACTCCAAAATTGGTATTAAAAAATGAAGCCCTGCTATGATACAGAGTAATGAGCTCTTACCTCATCTACAGGCTGAAGCCCAGGTCTTGATCACATGTTTAAAGTTAGTTAAAAAGTTTTCTTTCAGTCCATGATTAAGTTAGTAAATCAGTCAAACAATCAGGACTGATGTTCATAGAATTGCTTATGTAGCTAGAATTGATTTGGCAAATCACAAGGGAAGAAAGAAACATGAGAGTTTGTAGGTAGATGAAGCCAATACTACTTGATGAATAAGAATCTAATTGGTGAAAATTTTAAGATCTAAAAAGTAAGATAAATGGATATTGTGAATCACTCGTGTCGTGAAAGAACCTTGAGCAACAATAAAAATATTATAAATAGAAAAAAATTAAATAAATAAATATTAGAGAGTAACGATGTAAATTATCAACGTGTACCCAAGAAGGAAACTTAGAGGACAGTGTAATTAACAAAATATAGAAGAATTTACTATTTACAACGAACAAAAAAAGGCATTTTGAATGGTAAGCAAAGATTAACTGAATTTGAAATAAGAATGAATTTCAGTGAACTAGACTAACATAGATGAAGATGCTCCTGCCAAATTTACTGTAAACAGAGGCTTGGTCTGATTAATGAATTTAGTAATAAGTTATTAATTGAAAAGTCTTAAAAGGGGTAATTTATTTTGTTAGGAGAAATAAAGAAGTTTCAATGCTACATGTCAGTAAAGCTGAATAAGTCGAAGCATAGACTCATTTAGCATGCACCAGGAGGAGGCTGGAGGCCTGTAGTTGACAACAGGGCTCTAAAAACATGTAAAGGCATGAACCCTCCTTGCTTTATCGATAAATTTACTAGAAAAAGAGGGATTCGACAGAAGGGCGTACAAGCCTCACCTACAAGAAAAGAGGAATTAGTGGATTCCTGACCCAGATGAAGTTACAGCCTCAAATTAAAGAAGCTACAAGTACAGAAATTGTCAGAGCTATTTTTCTTGGAACAAGAGTTGTGAACTCTTGGGATAATCTGCATAAGAGTGTTGTGACTGCACTGACTTTGAACTCACTTAAAACCTGACTTGACGAGCACTGGCGCAGGTACAGATACATTCTGGAGCCAGTACTTGCCAACAATGTGTAACAGAGATGTACCTGGTATGTAACTGATCACCCTGTGTCTATTGCTTAACAGCACTTTTATTTTATCCTCTTCACCACTGATTGACTCGTTAGTTGCTTTAGCAGTCAGTCATGTCTTTATTACACACTGTTGGTATGTACTCGCTCTAGAATGTATCTGTACCTGCTCCAGTGATGGTCAAGTCTGGTCTTGAATGAGTTCACACTCAGTAACGTCACAACACTCGCAGACTGTTCCAAGCGTTTACAATCTCACTCCCAAAAAAGTTTGCCCTAACAATTTTCTGAACTTGTGGCTTCTTCAACCTTGAGCTGTGACCTCTAGTGGAGTGGGCATCTGCCAGTTACAGGTATGAGCATTTGAGTAATGCCTTCTGAGAAGTTTATAAACTTCAATTAAGTCACCCCTTTCCCGCCTGTGGTATAAACTAGGCAAATGCAAGAGTTCCAAAATCTCTGGCACCACTCTGGTGACCATTCTTTGGACATTTTCAATCAACTGACAATCTCCAGCATGTTTCAGGGATGCTATGAAATGACAATACTGTACTCCAAATGGGGAAGCACCTCATTCTTGCAGAGCGTTACGAGGGAAGGGCCGTCTAGATATCTGAAAGACCTTCTTATAAGACCTACCAGCTTCGTTGCTTGATTCACCTTCTCACAATAGCCTGAGAACTTCAGTAGTTCTCAACATACACATCCCGGTCCTTTCCACATTCACTCTGCTGACCATGGTGAAGATAAAGTAAAGTTATAAAAAAGATTAAGTACATCTCGTGGCCCTAATCTTCACTTCTTGTGGCCTGGACCTCCACCTCTTGTGGCTCTGACCCCCACCTCTTGTGGCCCTGACCTCCACCTCTTGTGGCCCTGACCTCCACCTCTTGTGGCTCTGACCTCCACCGCTTGTGGCCCTGACCCCCACCTTTTGTGGTATTGACTTCCACCTCTTGTGGTTCTGACCTCCACCTCTTGGGGCTCTGACCTCCACCTCTTGTGGCCCAGACCTCCACCTCTTGTGGTCTTGACCTCCACCTCTTGTGGCTCTGACCTCCACTGCTTGTGGCTCTGACCTCCACCTCTTGTGGCCCTGACCCCCACCTCTTGTGGCCCTGACCCCCTCCTCTTGTGGCCTTATCCTCCACCTCCACGTTTTGCGGCCATGTACTCCACTTGCACCTTTTGTGGCCCCGTCTTCCACCTCCACGTCTCGTCTGGCTCTGACCTTACTCGATGGTGGATGGTATCCTTGTAAGCAGAATTCATCTGGCGGAACTCTTATACCAATGTTCTATATAACAATATCTCTGCAATACCTTTTGCTTTTTATTTCTATGAATTATAAGAATAATTTCAACGTAACAGTAACGTGAAATTTCCACGTTGATCATTATTTGCTCCAGTTAGTTCTCATTTCATACAGAGCTTTCTTAATAAGATCCATGAATTAGCCAAATTTTTAACATTTGAAAAATCCACAAAAAACAAATGTGTTGTCTCCCCATATAATTTCTAAACTAAAATACAGTATGCATACGAAGACTTTAGTTGTTGTAGCGCAATAATTCATAGTAACATCAACACCTCACATGCTCCGACACGGTTATTGAATCAGACACTGCATACATAGACAACTCCGTTAGTTTTTATCTCAGGTTGCTGTTAGTGATCTTAAAAGCAACGAATGCTATTCCAAGTTCTCACGTTTGGGAATATCGGGCCTGAGCAGCTGCAGTCGTCAATCGTTGAAAATAAACCACAAATGGGGAAGACGATTACCGTGTGTTGACAAGACGAAACAAGAAAACTAGACGTCTTTGAGCACCCCAGGCGACCACTTCATACGAACCAGTAAACCACCCAATTACCAAATTGCCTGTTTCAGTTATTTTCAACCATCGTGAAGTCTCCCCGCGTCTTGCCAGTTGTTCCTTTGACGTGAAACAGTTAGTGCCTGATCTCTGAAATTAACAAAGAAGATTTCACCAGCGGCGACAACTACTGTACATCTGTTAGAGACAAGACAACACTGGAGCAGGTTCAGGTACATTCAGGAACCGGTGCATGCCCAGTACTTGCCAACAGTGCGTAACAGAGACGTGACCGATCGCCCAAGTGGCTAACGAGCCGATCATTTGGTGAAGAGGATAAAAGTAAAAGTAAAAAAGCTCTGATGTTATGAAAAGGTATGTGTTACATCTTGTACAGTTTCATTCTTCAGTCACTATTCATTATTTCACTTGGACCCTATAGAACACTAGCACATGTTATAGACGTCATAGAAAAGTTGCCATCTTCCACCTTGGGGTACTGCAGCAGCGTTTTCAGTGATCGGTGAGTGAGAATGGTTGTAAAGTCGATAGGAAAAGAAGCGTGAGAAGGATATTATGACAGCTTAACATATGCAGCAGACTCTAGGGGAAGGCTTAAAGAAAGAGATGTCCTGGCATTTGAACTCCCATGATCCGCACGAAATTTCAAGAAACGAATAATCGACAAATGGCCGTCGATTTTGTACTCCCACGTTGAAATGTACTGTACTACTTACTATACCTATTTTCACAAACCCGTGTAGTAAGGAGCAGCTGATAAACCTCAAAAATCTTGACTTAAGTTAACTGCTATG